ATTTGCTTTATATATTTAGGTGTTCCTATGTTGGATGTATAAATGTTTTCAATCCAAATAATCCTCTTTCTGGATTGTTTCCCTTATTGTGGGGGTCTTTTCACATCTACTAGGGTTCAGGAATCTGGAGAAGGGGCTGCAATGTAAATGAATAAAGAGACTAGAGAAGAAATATGAATTTGGAAGGCATTTTGGAATGCCAGACGGAAACTTAGTTCTAGTGACTAAGCTCCCCGAATCTCCAGACCCAGGGCTTTTTATTCACACATTGTGCCCTTTACCAAAGCAGATATACATATCAAAGGTAAGGTTTGGTAAACAGTAAAGGACCGTCAGGTTGGGGGAATTGCCTTTGGCTGTTCCAGCAGCACGTAATAACATGCAGACTTTCAGCCCTGCTGAAAGAGTCCATTCAATCTTTTGAGGACTTCTCACATTTATTATGACCCTGCTGGAATTAGCCTCTAGCACTTGATCATTATGTAGTGTCCTTCTTTGTCTTTGTTTTAAAGTCTATTTTGTCTAATATAAGTATTGCTAACCCAGCTTTTTTTCATTTCCATTTGCATGAAATACCACTTCCATACCTTTACTTTCACTCGGTGTGTATCTCTCATTCTGAGGTAGGTCTCCTGTAGACAGCATATGTATGGGTCTTGTTTTCTTATCTGTTTATCTATCCTATGTCTTTTTTTAAGTTCTTTATTGTTGAAAGTATTACATATGTCTCCTTTTTTCCCCATTGACCTCTCCCCAGCCACTACCACACCTCAGCACATGCCCTCACCCCCCTACTGTCCGTGTCCACTGGTTATGCTTATATGCATGCATACAAGATCTTTGGTTGATCTCTTACCACCCCTCCCCTGCCTTTCCTCTGAGGTTTGATGGTCTTTTTGATGTTTCTATGTCTCTGGATATATTTTTGTTCTTCAGTTTATGTTGTTCATTATATTGCACAAATGAGTGAGATCATGTGATACTTATCCTTCTCTGACTGGCTTATTTCACTTAGCATAATGCTCTCCAGGTCCATCCATGCTGTTGCAAATGGTAAGAGTTCTTTCTTTTTTATAGCAGTGTAGTATTCCATTGTGTAGGCATTCCACAGGTTTTTTTTTTAATCCGCTCATCTGCTGATGGGCACTTAGGCTGATTCCAAATCTTAGCTATTATAAATTGTGCTGCTATGAACATAGGGGTGCATACATTCTTTCTGATTGCTGTTTCTGAGTTCTTCGGATATATTCCTAGAAGTGGGATTGTTACCAGGAAACTCCCGATTGGGCTCAGGCTTCCTGTCACTGTGTCCAATAACAAAGGCAGGGTTGAATCATATTAGGCGTTTATTGAGACACCCCAACCAAGAAGACAGGGGACAAGCATCAAACCTTGCCTCCCAGCAAGATTCAGGGGACAAGATTATGAAGAGGAAGGGGTTGGGGCAAGGAATGCAACTAAGTGCAGGCCTGGGGGTCCACAGACATCAGCTATTGTAATTAGTCATCAGGTGATGAGATGATGTTGATGAGATGACATTTTGACTCCTGGTGGGTCGGCCTGACCATGCTTATCCGTTCTGCTTGCTGGATTCACAGCTGAGTCACCTCCCCAGTTACGTTACACAGGCCTTGAAAAGGAAACTTTAAGAAAAAACCCCCTATTCACATATTAGAAACTTAAACCCCTATTCACATAAGTATATGTGTTCTAAGATTTAAAATAATATGATTACTTTTCAGCTTAAGTCAGGTGCTCTATCTATCAGGTTATAGGTTCCCCCTATCAGGATTACTGGGTCACATGGGAGTCCCATTTTTAATTTTTTGAGGAAACTCCATACTGTTTTCCACAGTGGCTGCACCAGTCTGCATTCTCACTAACAGTGCATGAGGGTTCCTTTTTCTCCACATCCTTGCCAGCACTTGTCCTTTGTTGATTTGTTGATGATAGCCACTCTGACAGGTGTGAGATGGTACCTCATTGTCGTTTTCATTTGCATCTCTTGGATGATTAGTGACTTTGAGCATGTTTTCATATGTCTCTTGGCCTTCTGTATGTCCACTTTCAAGAAGTATCTATTTGGGTCCTTTGCCCATTTTTTGATTGGATTATTTATCTCCCTTTTGTTAAGTTGTATGAGTTCCCTGAAAATGTTGGAGATTAAACCCTTCCTTATCTGAGATAATATTGGCAAATATGTTCTCCCATGCAGTGGGCTTTCTTGTTGTTTTGTTGATGGTTTCCTTTGTTGTGCAGAAGCTTTTTATTTTGATTTAGTCTTATTTGTTTATTTTCTCCTTAGTTTCCATTGTCCTAGGAGATGTATCGGTAAACATATTGCTATGAGATATGTCTGATATTTTGCTTACCCTAGGTCTTTTGATTGGAGAACTTAATTTATTTACACTTAAAGTGATTATTACCATTTTATTTATTCTAACTCTGTTCTTCTTCTTGTAGAAGAACTTTTAACATTGCTTGTTATACTGGCTTGGTGGTAATAACAACTTTAGCTTTTTCTTGTCTGGAAAGCTCTTTATTTCTCTCTCT